ATAATTATATTTGCCTTTCCTTTACAGACATGAAGGGGAGACATATGTTTGTTGTCTACTAAAACAGTTCAATGTAGTTTTACTTATTTTTATTCCATGCCAATAGCAGACACATATAGTGTTACCTTTATCTATCATACTGTCCTTAAGGCTAACCAACATTCATTAGTTGTCTGGACTTTTTATTCTCCTCCAGGAATAGAAGGCAGACATATTGTTTTTCATCAATACCAATGATTGCCATTCCATATCCATCCATGTGCTTGTTTGTCTCTCTTTGTTTCTCTGTATTTGGTTGGCCAATCATTTTTTAACTTAGGTACATTTAGGGAGTCCAACATTGTATTGCAAGAAAAAGATCATGTGACACTTCTTTCATTGTTTAATGTTTATATCCAAGTTAATATTGGTTATACTTTTGTATCCTAGTATCTATAAGTTATAGGATCATGTAAACATATGTTAATATGCAATTTAGGAAATAGGTCAGCATTCAGACACAAGTAGGTCACTGTTGTCTAGATTTCAAGCAGCATTGACTTAGCTTAAGTTTTATGTGAAAGTTCTTATCTCTGTAACAACTGATAATAGGATTATCTAAACTTGTGCTAATATGCGTTTTGACCTTTATAGGGAGTATATCATCATACAGGCAGAGAGAGACCAGGTCACTCTGACCTACATTTCATGTATATTGACTTTTGATTTAAATCTGAGCACATATCTCTATAACTGTAACATGTGTAAATATACAGGGCAAAAGTAGGTCATTTTTACCTATATTCCATGGTTTTTGACATTGAAAAACATATTGTGGAGAACAAGTAAAAATTTGTCCTATGTTTCAGTATGAAGTCATCAGTCATGATCACCAATTTTAGCCATTAGTGTGGCAAAGGTAGAGAATGGCAAGGACATTTGACTGAATTTGGACTAACTAATGACTGAGAACAAATAAATAATAAACTGGTCAAGGAAACTATGAAAAGATTTACAGAAAATCATTTTCTAGTATTTTCTTAAATGTAAATGCACCCAACATCACTTGTTATACAATGAATTTCTATATTTCCACCTGTTTACACAACCTACTATGAAGATTGTGGTTATATTGTGGTTATATTGTTTTTTCTGTTTGTCTTAGATATGTGTATTCAGTTGTCATACAGGTATTTAATTAAAAGTGGAATGAAATTCTTCTATTACTGAATAATTATACATGTGGTTGGATGTTAATATAGCTGGGATAGTCAAGAATTTTAAGTTTATTTGGCCTCTGTTTATTTTTCCTGGTAACGAAAGAATCCAAAAGGACGTGAGATACCTTTCAAAAGTAAACAAATCATATTTCATATCAAAAAGACAGCCACTTCAAATTTTGTTAAGCTTCTGTAAAACTAGATAAGGATTGAAAAATTTACAGTAAGATTTTTTAAATAGCTTCTTTCGGTAATACTTGACGAAATGCAGATATTAGGAATGAAATCAATTATCATAGCAGGTGAACTACACTAGGTACATAACATTCAGCATGAGTAAAGGTTTAAAAGATTTAGTTTGTGAATGGGATATCAGAGTCTATCATAATCATGGTACAGCACATCTAGATTGAACCCCCATGGAGATTATTTTCAAATTTCCTACACATTGAATCAGTTGGTGTACACAAAGTAAAGGCAACAAGACATTATTTTGTAGAGTCTCAGTGATGAAATATATTGGAATCAATTGTAAAGCTAATGGACAATTAAAGTCTCCATTGTTGTTTGCTTACAGTCAGTGGCTAATATTACAGGCCATAAATAAATTGTAGATTTTGAAATGAATGAACAAAAATAAGGTTCTGTTTAGTATGGTAAGATGCAGGTCTTGTATGGAAGTCTTTGATTTAGTATTTTTAATGTACTGGACATGGTGGTACTTTTAATTGTTATATGAACACCATAGAATGAACAGAATAAATAATTTGAAGATCCTCTGCATTCGTAGCCAATCATCTGCCTACCCTGAAGCTCTAGTATTTATACAAAATGTTAAGTTCGGATGTCAAACTCATTTAAAATGATCATCTGTTTTTGTTGACAAAGTTGTCAATATTTGTTCAAGATTGTCAATGGGGGACCCACCCTTATATTTTCTTACGAATCTCAACTTGACAGTAAAAAACCCAATTACCATGGTAAACAGATAAGTAATCCTTCAAAATTGTCAATTTCGATGAGAAATTTTATTGGTTCTTAAATGCTTCTTATCTTTATTAAAGATACAGGTGTCTTCAGACAAGTAAAATTCTACAGCTCTGACTTGAATTTTGCAACTTACTATAGATGTATTTACACTTTTGGTATACAGCTGAATTTTGTCTCCGAATGACCTTAGATCTGTCTCCGAATAACCTACTGACGTCAAGCAACAATCACTTTTTAATTATGACGTAAAAATTTTTAAATTGTGATGTCAGATTTTATGGGAACTTGTGTGATTTTAAGTAATGAGGGACAAATTTGCATACAAGTGTAAATACGTCTATTCTAGGCTTTTTGAAAAATTTGACCACTGCAAAGATATAAGTTTGGTATTTGAATGACAGTACTGTGACTTTGTTTTGACTTGAGTAATAGATATATCTGTGTTGATATAGCTGAGCCTTTAGTTTACTCTTCTTCAAGGATTACTGTAATCTAGATTTGATAATTGAAAGCTTTGGTGTGAAAGTTTTCTACTTTTGAAATGTCATTTATTCTGCACACATTGTCATGGTCTGATTTGTTTCCTCATATTTTGGGATTATTTCAGTTTTGTACACCCTTAAATCAAACATGAAGTAATAACTACAAAAACTGATGGAGTAATCAACATCTGGAAACTTTTTCACAAAAAAAAAAATTCCCAATGAATTTTCTTTTATCATAAAATCAGTTAAAAAAATGAAACAGCACTTTATAAATTTTTAAATTTGATGCATCCAAGTGCTCAAAATTTGGTTAGATTTAAGAAATGAGAGTTTCCAAAATTAGAAAACCAATTCCTTTTTAATCTCTAAGCATTAACTAAATGTATAAAAGCAGCTCTGTTTTAATCTAATAAAGGAAACACCTTCACATTTGCATCAATTAATATCCAGATAGAGAAAACAGTATGCAAATTAAAAAAGTCCATAAAAAATGTATCTAAATCTTTATATGTTTAAGGGTCACAGTGTTGTAAAGTAGATAAATAGTCTGAAATGGGAAAGGCTATCTAAAATATATCTAAATGTTTACTGACTCAGGTCATTGAAAGCATGAATACATTGAATAGAGAGATAAGTAAGGATTTATTGAGTGTCAAATGGAGAAGCTTATTATCGAAACCAATCAACCCGTTAATTATCCCAAAAAGAAACAAAATTACACCATGTTTAAAGTTTTAAATTACTTTGTATGGTTTGTCACGAAAGAAGGGTGAAAAGTTGTTCAGATTTTCAGATGTAATCAGAGTTTGATGAAATTTCATATTTTTTAAATCAGTTAATCAGCAATTTGAGATGCTTAAACAGTAACATACAATTTACAGTCTGTTTGTTTGTTTGTTGTTTTATATGTTTTGGCGACACCTTCAAGTGATAAATCTGAAATTGAGAACAAGACTGTCAGAGTTATTGGCCTTTGTATTGAATAATTATCATTACAAAAAACTATGAATCCACTCAAATACCTACAAATTTGATTGTAACATTAGAAATAATCACAAATTTTCTATGAACATTAACAATCAAAAAAATTTCTGTTCCTTTTCTAGACTAGTAGTGAATTTCTAGAAAATTAATATAAATTCTTCAACTTTAATTGTGTAATAGCTAAATTTGAAGTAGTAAATTGCCAGAAATAATTGAATTAATAACTGAGAACTACATTAAAGAGGTCAGATTGGACAAAAAGTCGAATGTCAGACTGAAAAAAATCTTTCCATTATTTTATTTAGGGCCTCTAACCATTTAAAATACCAACAGCATGCACATTTAATTTTTTTTGTAATTATGAAAAAGAATTTGGTTAAATAGCTGAAGTTTGTTTAAAATTCTATCCATCCAAGCATATCAGATGTTTATAATTTTCCCATGACACGATGAATGTCGTGGAGTCAACAATATCATTATTTATACTTATATATTATAGATAAATATTTGTTGCAATTACTTTTCAATGGTTTTATCTTACATTGAAAAACAGTATGATAAATGTATTTTATAGAAAGACAAGTTTGTTCTTCAAATTATACCAATACCCAAGGATATTTTATGGCCTTTGTATAACTCACAAAAGTCATGTTTTATGGTCTAATTTTGATCGGCAATACAATTTATAGAGTGACTTGAAGTTGATATAATTTGTTTGAGTAATGATTTTACTGGGGCTTCAAAATTTATGAAATTGCTAAATCAGTGAAATATTTTATCCTTTTTATATACAGTGTACTACATGTATTGCACTATCAAAAGACTGAAAAGTTGTCATCAACTTCAAAAGTGATGTCAAAAGCTGGTTGAATATAATTTTTTTTTCTTTAATTTGTTAGCTGAAATCTTCATCTACAAAAACCTTGAAGGCAAACTATCCTAAAATAACTATTCAAATAATTTTCTTACAAAGTAAATGAAGTCCTTGAAATCCAGTTGATGAATAGTACAAAAGACTAAAGGTTTCCTGTGAATGTGATAGGTGTTGATGGTTGAACCAGTTATAACATCTGTTTTGTAAAATACAGTTAATTGGCTGTTCTGTTAAAACATTGCTTGGTTCAAATGCCTCAAATGATTAAAATGTGTTTGGCAATAAAAAAAAAGGTGAAAAAATGTGTTTATATGGGGAAAATATGTTGTGCAGGATTAGTTTCGATTCATATTTATTGCTATAAATTCTGAATCTGAATATATTTTAATAAAGATTCCTGTGTCCAGAGGAGCATTCTTTCGTTTCGCATTTCAGAAACCTGGTTTTAATTAATTTTTCTTGTTTCAGGAATCTGGCTGATGTTAGCAATGACAATCTTCTAAATGTACACGAGTTTGTTCTCTGTATGCACTTGATACAGGAAGTCCTTAAAGGGAGAAAACCGCCAGGAGACTTGCCAGAAAATCTTAAGCCAAAAATGTCTGCACCTGTGGACTTGCCAGCAATAACTTCCATTGAAAGAGAAGCCTATGTTAAAGTGTTCCAGACAGTTGATGATAAAAGAAAAGGTTATTTAGAAGGTAATAAAGGACTCATAGTAATAAACAATGATATGTTCCTTACAACGAGAAAGAAGACCATATTTTGAAATAGAATGAAATTAGGAGAACCTAAAAATAAATTCCATTAAATTAATTTGTCATCTTATTGCTGTTTCATTAATGTGTTATGGAAACATCACCTTATTGAAGAAGTTCAACTAACAAGATATTGTAAAAAAATTGTGAAAATTATTTTCAATTATGAATTTTTTTATTCGCCTGTTTATTATGGTATACTGTTGTCCGTCTGTCCGTCCGTCGTCAATATGTCAGACATTAACTCAAAAACTCTTTAACCAATTTGCATAAAACTTTGGTGAATTGTTTATATCTATTTACATGAGCTCACTTTCGTTTTTTATAAATTTTAGATTTTACGTTTTCGAGTTATGGGGTTTTATTCATTAAAAAAAGGGGGATTTTCCAGCTTTCGTACAATAACTCAAGAATGCTTTCACCAACTTGCAAGAAATTGTGGTGAATTGTTTATATCTTTTGACATGAGCTCCCTTTCGATTTTTATATTTTAGATTTTACATTTCCGAGTTACAGGGTTTTATTCATAAAAAAAGGGGGATTTTCCAGTTTTCAGACAAAAAATAAAAAATGCTTTCAGCAGTTCTTATGAAACTTTGGTGAATTGTTTATATTTATTGATGTAAGCTCCGTTAAGAATCTTATAAATTTTACATTTTACATTTCTGAGTTATGGGGTTTTATTCATTAAAAAAGGGGGGATTTTCCAGTTTTCGGACAATAACTCAAAAATGCTGTCAGCAATTCTCATGAAACTTTGGTGAATTGTTTATATCTATTGATGTAAGTTCCCTTTACATTTTCATAAATTTCTAATATGACATTGAGAATTAATTGAACTTTAATTGTTTATAGTCTGACAACAGATTTACTAAGTATTGCGCAACAGCAAAGTGTATTGCACAACAGCAAGAAATCTTTAATTGAATATAAATTCAATTCATATAACCAATTTCAAGTTCTTTGACTACATTTATTCAGAAACCTATAATATGTCAAATATTTAATACAATCCAAATTCAGACCTGTATCAAGCTTGAATATTGTGTCCATTTTTGCCCAACTGTTCAGGGTTGGACCTCTGTGGGCGTATCCAGCTGCGCTCAGTGAAGCAGTTTATTAGTTTATTTGTCAGCCAAACTAATGACAAAACTGAGCACCACAGAGAATTGAGGTAAATCTGTTTCTCCACTCATAACATTTGGATAAATCTTGTGCCATGTGTAATAATGTTCTGGATAGAAAATTTTGGAATTTGGAAAATGAAATTTTAAAAAATGTGTGCATTATGCAGAAAATTAAATGCAATTTCTGTGCAATCCTCAAGATTGCAAATAATTTTGCTTATACATGAAAAAGAAAAAATCATAAAAAGATATACTGGTTGATAATACCTATAATGACATATAATTTGAGATTTTTAACGATTAATAAAAATTTATATCTATTTTTTTTAAGAAATACCATGCATCTGGTGCATGAACAAAGGAAACACAATTTTATTACTATTCATAATCAGTCTCTATAAGTTGGTTGTGCTTACACAGTTTGGATTGAAAATGAAGAATGATATTTTATGTTTGTAAAATTGTTAGAGTTATTTCCCCTTTGACACATTCGGTTTTAAATGGTCTATAAATACTGCAATTAGATAATTTCAATGTGTTCAAATTACAAACTACATTAAATGAATTGCATTGTAAAACACTTGGGTGGGGTCTGCAAGAATTATTAACTATTGTATATAGACATTAGAGAAAGCCCAGAACAATATGATCAATTGTTAAGTTATAAAACCTGTTGATTATCTGTTTCAGCATTAGAAGTAAGACCGTTGTTCCAAGCTTCCATGTTACGACCAGAGATACTTGCCAAAGTGTGGGACCTCTCAGATATAAATAAAGATGGCGTTTTGGATTCTGATGAATGGACTATAGCTTGTCATCTCATTAGACTTATAAAACAAGGTATGTATTAAAGGATAAAGGGGATGGAGTTCAGGATCTGATAATTCACTTTAGTTTGTCATCTCATTAGATTTATAAAACAAGGAATGGTATTTAAGGGTAAAGTGGAGCCCCAAGGAGTTCAGGATTCTGATTAATTCACTATAGCTAGTCATCTCATTAGAATTATAAAACAAGGTATGGTAGCTTGTCATCTCATTAGTCTTATAAAACAAGGTATGGTACCATAGGATAGAGGATGGAGTTCAGAATTCTGATTAATTCACTTTAGCTTGTCACCTCACAAGACTTATAAAACAAGGTATGGTATCATAGGGTAGGGGATAGAGTTCAGGATTTAGATTAATTATCTATTTAAACCTATAAAACAAGGTAATGTATTAAAGGGTATGGGAGATGGAGTTCAGGATTCTGATTTATTCACTATAGCTCGTCATATCAATAGACTGATAAAACAAGGTTTGATATCATAGGGTAGGGAATGGAGTTCAGGATTCTGATTAATTTACAATAGCTTGACATCTCATTAGACATAAAACAAGGTTTGGTATAGGGTAGGAGGATGGAGTTCAGGATTTTGATTAATTTACTTTAGTTTGTCATCCCATAAGACATAAAACAAGGAATTATATTAAAGGGCAAAGGGGATGGAGTTCAGGATTCTGATTAATTCACAATAGCTTGTCATCTCATTAGACATAAAACAAGGAATTGTATTAAAGGGCAAAGGGGGTTGAGTTCAGGATTCTGATTAATTCACAATAGCTTGTCATCTCATTAGACATAAAACAAGGAATTGTATTAAAGGGCAAAGGGGGTTGAGTTCAGGATTCTGATTAATTCACAATAGCTTGTCATCTCATTAGACATAAAACAAGGTTTGCTATCATTGGGTAGGGAGATAATTGAGGGTGCAGACCTCTTAAGTATCAATAACAATATAAAAATAAGGAGATGTGGTATGATTGCCAATGAGACAACTATCTTCCAAAGTTCAAATGAAGTGGATGTAAGCAATTATAGTTAACCGTACGGCCTTCAACAAGGAGAAAAACCCAGACCATATGGTAGGCTATAAAAGGCCCTGACATGAAAAATATGAAACAATTCAATCAAGAAAACTAATTGCTTAATTTTTATACAACAATCTATGAAAAACAAATATGACAGACAGAAACCAATGGCAACCACTGAACTACAGGCTCCTGACTTGGGACAGGCACATAAAGAATGTGGCGGGGTTAAATATGTTTGTGAGCACTCATCTTCCCCTATCCTGGGACAGTGGTGTTACAGTACAACATAAAAACAAACTATAAAAATCAGTTGAGAATGGCTTAACTCAACAGATTGATACAAAGCAGAAAAACATCGAACAAAAACACAGACCAGACGAATGGTTGTTTTAGATTTAGAATTTAAATCTTAGGATATAACCTCTTCAATTTATTTGAACAAGGCATAACTTTATTGAAGTTTCTATGGATGATCTAACATAAAAGTCAGGATAATATTTAAAATTCTAGTAATCAACTAACTACCTATCACCTTATTTATTGAAATGCAGGAACAAGCTACTGTTTTAGGAAGGGCCTCTATCTTTTTATGGAAATGCTGGAACTGGAACAAGCAATTGTTTTAGGATGAGCCTCTATCTTTTTATTGATCTGTTGATGTGCAGCTCAATCATTTTTTTAGGAGGGGTCTCTTACTTTTTATTGAAGTTAAGGCACAAGTAAGTGTTTAGGAGGGGCCATACCTTTTTATTGATGTGCAGGCACAGGATATGTGACATTGGGAATTTATGTTCTTTTGTTTATTTAGATGTTTTTTTTAAAGTATAAAGGGGGAAATTTATTATGATAACACAGAATATTGCCCAGGTGTTTAGAAAGAACATATATGTTTCCAGAATTACAAATTAAAGCTGACCAAGATATTGATTAGCCATGACTTTTGTTGAGTATTTACTTAAATACATAGTAAATCCCTGTTTTTGTAGTAAATACACAAGTTTTGTTTACAAACCACATGTAAATAAAATTTGAGATCAATAAAGAGCTTTGAAATGTCCAGTATAAACCCTATTGAAATGTTATAAAACATCTGTAAGGTGACAAATTGGATAAGCAGATGGGCAGTCATTTGAATGGGGACAAGGTAAGCCAAGACACTTATGATAATAGATGTGGTGGAAAGGGCATTGGGTGGGGATAAAACATCTAATAGGTGCCTAATTAGATAAGCAGATGGGCATTTGAGTGAATGGGGACAAAGTTAGCAAAGATACTTAGAACAGGTGTAGTGAGAGGGGAAGGGAGAGCGGATAAACAAGTAAGGTGTTAAATTTTATAAGCAGATAGGCAGTTGGGTGAATAGGGACAAGGTCAGCCAAAATACTTAAAATAGAGATGGTGGAGAGAGGGGATAAACAGCTGTACAGTGTTAAATAAAGTACTGAAAATTTAGAAATCATTGCGAGGTTTTTATTATTGTCCATTATGCGATTGGGTGATATTTGTGATAAGAATTCTGAAATCTGACACATATATTTGTATGCAGCTTGTTGTGTAATCACAATAATTGTTCTCAAATTTTAGCCTGTCATGATGAAATCATATTAATAAATGCCCGCAATAATTTCTGAATTTACAGAAACAGGTGGGCAATCTAGCGAATAGCGACAAGGTAAGCTAAGAAATTTAGAGATCGTCAAATTGGATAAAACGATAGGCAGTCTTGTGAATGGAACAAGATCACAAAATATAATTGAAATAGAGGGTAAGAGGATAAATTAACTGGAAGATGGAAGGAATAAAGATAACCAAAAATACTCAAAACAGAATAGGTATAGGAAATGGGGATAAAACATCAGAAAAGTTGCATAATGAATGAGTAACTTAAAATTAAAAGGGAAATTAGGATAAGTTAAATGTCTCTAACTTGGGAAAGGGGGTACAAATGTCAGTAAAGTGACATTTAAAGAAAGATACTTTATATAGGGATGATAAAGGAAAGGGTTCTAAAACATCTTTACAGTTTCAGAATAGAAAAGCAGATGAAGATTTAAGGGAATAAGAACAAGGCATGTCTTTTGCTTATCTATGTTAAATATCTGTCTCATTGAGGTATACCCCACATCCCCTTTTATTCATGAGCAATGATACTCCAAATAAAGAGGTCTTGTAAAGGAGATTGGGCATGCAACTGGGCTCAGAAAGGAAGACCTTATAGGCAACCTTTATTACAGAGGTTTATATCTGATGCTAATAAGTAAGCTAGCATAATAAGTTTTGTAAACTTGAACAATTCACTCACACACACTCTTGTGTTTCTTCTCTTACTATAATTCTTTTTATTTCTTCTTCAGGAAATGAACTAGATGGGAGTGTGAACCCTTTCATTTGCCATCCTGACAAAATTTCTCCTATTTCACTGCAAGCCAGAAAATCCAGGTATGTATACAAGAAGTGTATTGATCTGAGCCAGTTTTTTACAATTACAGGCTGTGCCTCAGACCAGTATGATGGGTGCCAAGTGGAGCAGGATATATTTACCTTTCTTTAAATCATTGCATCTTACCTAGTATTTTTGGTGTTAGAGTGTGATTTTGTTTCTTATATTGTAATATCCAATATTGTCTCTGTGTAATATGGACGTTTAGTTTGTGCTTAAAGGTCCATTCATATTGTTAAACAAAAAAATTGTTAATGTTAAATGTAATGATTCAGTAATGTGATGTCCAACAACATTTTGTGCAAATCATGGAGTGGTCTAAATATGACATGTACCCCATTCAGAATATTAAAAGAAAAAATTCCTTATAGTTTTAAAATCAAGATTCTAGAGTATTACACTTCTAATGCTTGGTGCCCCTAGTTTATTTGAAAATATTGGATTTATTGAACAATTGAATTATTAAAGTTTCTTCTGGAATTTATAAAGTTTCCAAAATTAATCTTTTCTTCATTTACAAAATTAAACAGAAGACTTAGAATCTTCAGGAGTGACAAAGTTCTCTCTGCCAGGTATTAATTTTCAGAGTAAATGAATTGTATGTTATCATATCCCAGGTATTAAGTGGTCAATACTGAGGTAAGATAAAGAAAGTTTTCATGTGTACATTAACCTATAAATCAATAAGATCAATTGATTATTTACTTCAAGTTTTCTTGTCTTATGTCTCAAACTTATTGTTTAGTGGAATGTGTTTGAGTTGTTGACTGTCCTTGGTTTTACAATGATATATGTAGGATAAGTAAAAGTCAGGACAGTTATGATTATTTTTGAGTTGAAAATGTCCTAAGTAATATCAGACCAAAACACAGAGGTAAACTCTGCAGTTTTAATGAAAAAAGAATCTTGAATTAACAGAATCAGGTAGTACTTCATAACATTTAGCTATCTACTGCCACAGATGTGCTTCTGTAGTTATACTGATAACTTTCTATAATAGAAGTATGAATGAATGAACTAATGGTAGGACATACAAAGGTCATCAATTTAACCTTTTCATTGAACGCTTCAAAAGCTGACAAATTGCAAAATGATACAAAATTTCATATCTAATAACAATTTATTGATAGTTTTGTAATATGAATTCTATCAAATCGCATGTTGATGACCATTTAACGAATGTCAAGCTCTCTATCTGATTTGGCTACTCACGCTGTGTGATCAGCACTAGGTGTCCAGATTTCCCCCTACAATGGCTGGAATGTGGCCAAATTATAGTTTTATTTAGTAAAATATAAGTATCTTATAATAGATTAGGCTGTTTTGATTTAAAAGGGATCACAGAATCTGTCTGTCATTAAAATTGTTGAAGTTCTGCACATATTTTCTGAATGGTAAGATCCAGGTTAGGGAGACATTTCATGTATGGATAGTTTATTGTATTGTCAAGTGAGTACAACACTTTGATTCTTTTTTAAATAAAAAAACAATGGCAAATTTTACATTGTGAAATTTTTTTATGTTCTTAACATAATTACTGTAAATTCAGATATTATTGCATGCATTTATTATTGCCAATTTCATGACCACTGGAAAAAATGTGAAATCTAATTTATGCAATTGCAAAAAATTTATGAATAAAAACACTACTGAAACTATGAATACTCGAACATGATATGGTTGCATTTTTTTGCATTGATAAAAACTTAGTAGTAATATCTGAATTTACAGTAATAGAAATTAGCTAAAACAAATGCAATAAGAGCATGTGCTGCCTTTGTTTAGTGTGTATAAAGCTTCATGTGTATATATTTTTTTTGAATTTAAACAAAACCATGTAAAATGATATTCTGTCAAAATGGACTAGATTAAATATAAATACTTTATTTGCTTAACCACAAATCTGTCAGGTTTTTGAAATGCTGCAAAAATTTGGTCTAAATTTAAAACCGGTCTTATTGTTGAAAGGGTTTGTCATTTTAAAATTCTTGTTTTTGTTTATATTCACAAATTTATTGGACCAAAAGATAATCATTGTCCCTAATTGTTTGTATTTTTAAAATTCCACATGGTCATATCTTTTGTTTATATCAAACATAGATGTTCTGACCTCAGCTGAACCTTTTATGAAATGGAATTGTTATGAACAATAGACTACTATTTTGTGCCTTATTTATTTGCACAAATGTTTATAAATGTCCTCTGTTTTTTACATATTACACTTCTTTGAAAAATCATTATTTTATACCCCAGTTTACAGTTTGGAAACTTTTAAAGATTTCTGTGTTATGTGGGCTCTCCTGGCATGCCATTAATATATCTGTTGCAAAACTTTGTATAGTAGTTCCCATTAAAAACAACTACTCTAATGGATAGTTGTCTCATTGGCAATCATACTGCATCTCGTTATTTTTATAATATTAAGTATATTGTCCAAAAGTCAAGATCACCTGATAAACTCATTGATAAAGTGTATAAGTACTATTTAGCTTTCATCTTGGATCCCAAAGTCAGATATCAATAACTGATTTGGTGCAATGGTTCAATATAAGGTGACAAACCCTATTTAACATCAAGTTTAGTGGTCAAAGATGCTAGATTTACATGTGGAAAAAAAACTTGAAGACTCAAAAGAGCTTGTCTCTTGAATCATATATGGCAAGCCAAAGTGGACAAAAAGAGCTTTTTTTTAGTATTAAAAAATCATTTAAATATCTTACAAATTCAACTACAAAAAATTGATGTCACAAGCATGTATACCTGATCTGGTTTTCTTGTGGGCTAATTAGGACAAAAGTCAAATGCATCATAAGCTGATTGTAAATGTTTTGTATTTGTAGGGTCAGCAAATATGAACAGCACAAGCAGAGGCTTATGTCTTTAAAGGTTTGTATTTACTATAGGAAATCAAAATAGTTCAAACATGTCTTTAAGGATTTGATCTGAAAGTTAAAATTGGTTAAACAAAAATGCACAAAATGTATAAGTAATTGACATTTTTATTAACATTTCTTCCAATACACTTTATCGCTATGTGGAAATCTGTCCCGCTTGACCCGAGAATCTGTCTGCTTGAACTTCTGACATCAAACAACAATCACTTTTTCATTGTGGCGTCAGATATTTTCTATTATGACATCAAAATTTGACGGTTACTTTTGTGATGTCCAGTATTGGCGGACAAATAGCGATAAGGTGTATTCTTACTTTTTTCCTTTTTTTTTTAAATTATATAAATTAAGTATTATGATGGTGTGTCTGTCTTTTCAAATATTGTTCTAAATTAGAAATAGGAATTAAACTAGTTTACACTTGATCTTCTGACCAATAGTCTACCTCCATTTACCTATTCCTAGATATTAAGATGCATTGCAGGATATGCTTACCCTTCCAGAGCACCTGATAAATGCAGGTGATTTATTTTATGCCAGTCTGTCTTTGTAGGTTGTCTTTGTCATTAATACATTGTCAATTTTTGACATTTTAACTTTTGGTCCTCTGCTAATCTTTATTTAAATATAGACATGTATTTGATGTATGAATTAATTAGATACCCTAATTGTGGCAGAAATTAAAAGAAATTATCCAACAGTTGATGCTACAATAAAGGTGGGGTTGTTGTCTCTTTGACACATTCCCCATTTCCATTCTCAATTTTATTATTTTAAGAAAATCTTATTCACTTAGATAACTAGACTAGTTATTGTTGACCTTGCTTTTGATGTTTTAAACTCTTATGACCTTTGCACAGCTATCAAAAACTGAATATCTGTTATTTCACCCTGGCTAACATTATGACATGAAATTTTAATATTTCAGTCATAAATAAGATCTTATCGAAAATTTGAAATATGTCCACTTGTAAACATGAATAGTATCCAAGACTTGTTATTAGTACCTGACATATTAGTGAATTGTAAAGAGTAACATAAAAAACCATTCATAACCAGTTGTAATTACTAATTTGCATGACTGTAAAATGATAAACACCCGACACCCGCAAACTTGAAACAATTTTGAAATATTTGTTTTTGGTTATTTAATCCCAATAACATGTAAATAAACTGAAATATATATCATTTTGGAGATAGGATCCAGTTTGATATAGATGTTTACAATAGGAATTCTAATAGGTGATTTTAATTACTATTGAATATGTTGAAGGTTTTTGTTGTGCAATTTTGCTTTTCTTTTTTGTAAGTATTGATTTAACACAAAAAACTAAATAGATATAAAATTAACTTTTTAAACATTAAAACTATTGATTATAGTAGTAGAAACTGTTCAAGCATTATAATTTCATGCAAACTAATTATTTTGATGCTATTTCTAAGGTTACCAACTAAAGGATGTTACAAAAACTTACACTTTCTAATACTTTCTAGGAAAAGAGGAAAAATCAGAGCTTACAAGAAAAAAAAAGACTTGATTTACTGAAGGAAAAAGTGAACATTGAAAAAGAATTGGTAAGTTTCTGTATAATATGAATGTATAACTTTTCATGTTAGTTTAAATTGCTGTCCTGTTCATAGATGGATGAAATACACGTATCCGATAATACATGACTGTTTACAATTTTTTTCTTACTTTTAAAGTCTTTCAAGGGAGATAAATTGTTTATTGGGGCAATAGCAGGAGCTCAAAATATTTCAAAATAAAAGAATTTAACACCCACAGAAGGGCTGGTATTGTATGACTTCTTAATGTTAGACTGACATTTGAACCTATCACAAGCCTACCACTTCCATTATCATAACCTTTGGTTAGTTCATCAATTTATTCAATTTACATCTCAAAAACTCACAGTGTACTGTTTCCTTTATCTCTTGAAGTAATTCTAATTTTAGGTGTTCGCGTAAAGCTAAAAATGCAACCATTGTTATCTGACATGACACTTATTTTCTCCTCTATTGACACATTTTCCGATTTAAGAGCTTAGACCAGTTGTGAGTTTGCAACCAATATTTCATGTAAGTCGTAAATCGTTAATATTTGTGAAACGGTCGCATATCGTAAACATGGTCGTACAACCTATTTCACGATTTACGACCTTTTGTGAAATGGTGGCCTGGTTGCATGATGTGCACATCAGGCTAATAGTATGGTGAGTGTTAGGGAAGTGGGCAGGGGGGGGGGGGGGGAGCATGCAAGTGGGGAATAGAGTATCTATTTAATGTGCTATAGTTTTTACCACAGAGTCTTTTATAAACTTTTTACAATGCTTGAATATACAGAAAACATTCACACGTCACTTTAAACATTTTCAAACCCAAACCTGTCAAACTTTCTAGAATGATTATTTATAAAATTCTTTTTTATAACATATACATATTTAACTTGTATGTACATGTATTTACAGTGTGGCTTACTTCAAAACACAGGGAATTGTCCTCTCACAGCAGATGAAATATTGAATTTGAACACTAGGAACACAGAAGATATTGATAAACTTGAGGAAATTGTCTCCAGGTAAATTTTGCAGCTGTAGGAACATTTTCCTTCTTATGGCGGTATCATTTTGTATTTTTGGTTTGTTTAATTGTCTAGAGAAGTAAAAAGCTCCTTGTTGATTAAAAAAAAACAAAAAAACATAAATATATCCTATATATTCTTCAAGGTTTACCTCAATTATCACCTTTTAATGGTATGTACCGGTACTTACTGCAATTTAAGTTTTTAATAAGTTATGACTGAACTTAATTAATTTACTTTGTATTTGTGCAATTGAATTATTATATACAAATTACATGCAAGTTTTGAATTTCAAACTGCATTGAAAATTGGAAATGTTTGACATCTAAAATAAAGTTGACTGATGAAAATATCAAATTCTTGCATGGGTAGAAAAAAAAGCATATGTCATGCAATATTTGTACATAAAAGTATTGAATGTTTTTTTAAGATTGAAAAAAGAACATGAAAAAGTAAGACAAGAAACAGTGAAAGTTATACTAGGAGAACAAAAACTACAGGATGAGATTCGACGGATCAAATACGATACCGATGAACTAAATAAGGTACAGAAATTGAAAATCTTGTTTATATTTATTCCTAAGATTGTAAAAAATTATTTTGTCTGTTTGTCTATCTTATATAATTAGTCAATAGTGTTTAGTATATAGTCATATCAAAGGAAAGTCCAGATTAAGTTAAAATTTTATTTAAGTTGAGCGATTTTGTGGAAGTTGTAGCCATAGGATATATAAAACTGCTTGAAAAAAACCTTCTTTTTTCTGTAATACCTGAATCAATTGATTTAATATTTGGTATATAGTCACATCATAAGAAGCTACAGATTAAGGTTGAGTTTTGTTGAGGTTTTTTCTGTTTTAGTATCAGTTTTCCACACTTTTTTCTGTAATTTATGAACGAAATGAATGGAATTTTATGTATAGTCATACATCTTGAAATATGAATAACTTTTCAACTATTCCAATTTTATGTTTTTGAACAACTCCTTATGATAAGATATTGTATGGATATCAATTATAGATAATTTGCCTCTCATTATTTTACATTCTTGGTATGTTATCTTTTTCTTCAGAGATTAGGAACAAAACATAAGAAGGCAACAAAAGATCCTGATCCTTTCCATCAGCTGTATGAACAGAGAAAAGGTAAACTTTATGTCTTACTTATGTTGCTGGGTTGCTGTCTCATTGACATTTACTCCACATCACCTGTCATATATAACACATCATTGTAGATGCTAATTCAGTTAATTATCTTGGGGTGGGGGGGGGGGGGGGGGGAGGAATTAATTTGGCTAAGTTAGGAAGGAGAACAAATCTTAATTTACGATAAAAAATTTATTTTCTTAATACATACAAAACAAGGGTTGACAGTTTCATTGAGTAACTGACATACCACTGTCGAAACATGTTATTGACAGTTTCATCAAATAACTAACAAAACAAGTGATTCACAGTTTCAATGAGTAACTGACCTACCACTGACAAAACCAGTGATCTACAATTTCATTCAGGAATTGACAAAACAAGTGATTGACATTTTTTTGAATGATTATCATACCACTGATATAACATGTTATTGACAGTTTCATGGAGTAACTGACAATACAAGTGATTGACAGTCTTATTCAGTTTCTAACATACCACTGACAAAACCTGTGATCTACAATTTAATGGAGTAACTGACAAAACAAGTGGGTGTCAGTTTCAATGGGTAACTGGCATACCACTGACAAGACAAGTGATTGACAGTTTCATTGAGTAACTGACATACAACTGACAAAACAAGTGATTGAAATTTTTATTGAATGACTATCATACCACTTATAAAACATGTCATTGACAGTTTCATGGAGTTACTGACAAAACAAGTGATTGACATTTTTTTTAATGACTATCATACCAATGATATAACATGTTATTGACAGTTTCATGGAGTAACTGACAATACAAGTGATTAACAGTCTCATTCAGTTTCTGACATACCACTGACAAAACCAGTGATCTACAATTTAATGGAGTAACTAACAAAACAAGTGGTTGTCAGTTTCGATGGGTAACTGGCATACCACTGACAAGACAAGTGATTGACAGTTTCATTGAGTAACTGACATACCACTGACAAAACAAGTGATTGACAGTTTCATTGAGTAACTGACATACAACTGACATAACAAGTGATTGACAGTTTCATTGAATATCTGAGAAAAACAAGTGATTGACAGTTTCATTGAGTAACTGACATACCACTAACAAAACATATATCACTTAGATTGAAGTATGATTCCCTGACAGCTAAAATAAGCCAAAAAGTACAGAAAGATTTCAACTTTACAGCACTTGACTACCAAAGCTTTCAGGAATGAAAAGGACACTAGGAACACTTCCATAACACCACCTAATTTAAATGGCTGTTTTACATTATACAATCAGGTGATTTTTAACCATGAAGTTAAAGGATCTTTACTATAGCTTATCACTTGACCAATGAAGAGACCAAGATGTTAGAACTAATGTTACATTCACTATGAGAAAGGAATTTATCACAATAGAACATATAGGTACTCCAAGCAATGACCAACAGTAGCACTAGGGTTTTGACACTTAAACTTAGGTTATTCCTCTTGTCAGATGAACCATTGCATCAAGGTTTATATGTATGGGATGGGAGAGACAAGCTTTTTTCTTTAAAGTTATCGGGCGACCGGACCTCAGCCAATTGACCTTTTGATTAGATATGGTTCATCATTTCCACTTAAAGAAAAGATTGTACTGAGTTTTGTGAAGTATATATACAGGTGTTACTCTTACTCCACATTCAATGTTTTACTGCAATTTGATAGCAGGTTTACTATGTTACATCTATAGCTTTGTTATATGAGTATAATAAAAATACGCAATGTTTTGATTTTTTCTTAAGGTGAATTATGACTTGTGAAACAACTTTCTAGCTACTATAGAATAACCTTAAGTACAAAGAAATCAGATTATTGGATAACAGTATTTAAAACGATTGACTTTTTGGCAGAGTTATCCTTCTTACTATTGTTAAAGTCACTGACCAGAAGATTAGAAACAATAGAACGGATAAAAAGATTACTGTCAAAGTCATGTTTGTAAAATTACTCTGTGGAAAAGGAACCTCTGTTTTTGTGGTCAGCAAATGACTTTTTGTTTTTCTTATTTTGGATAATAAAAATTATGTGGTGACAAACACATTTGTTTTTTTCTGTATATTTTACAATAAGAATGACATTGTCTGCAATGAATTGAAGTTTTCAGAAAAAAACATTAAACAAAGACTAATGCTTTCCATTGTGGTATTGAGAAGTTGAAGCTGGTCAAGGTTTTAGTGCTGTGGTTATTGTAAAGATCACTCTGTCAAATAGGATTATAGGATGCCATACTAATTCAAAACTATGAGTTGTTTGGAACCAATATCCACCATGGTTGAATTTGAGTCAAAACAATAGATTATCTTCAGGCGATTTTGTCTATAATGCAAAGTTTTAATGACAACTCTTAATATTGTTTAAGCCTGTGAGATTTTTTTAATTATAACAAATGCTTATGCAGAAAAATAAGACAAAGTATTATATTTTTCAGAGGAAAGAAAGAAAAGTAATTTATCAGAAGGAGAAGAGCCAGAAGTCCACTATCCATTTAAGATTAGTCCCTTTGACAAAGAAGCATTAAGTTGGAAGTCCATTAAGGGTTCTGACGTGTTCCTTAGCAACCATTTAGTAGACAATAATAACAGTAAACAGTCAATAGAAAATGAAATAGTTATAGAAAATTTACATGAATTTAGTGATAAATTTATAGAAAGTTGGAGCAGTAGAAAACCTTCAGTAGAGATGGAGAAATCTGAGGAGGAAGATCCAGTGTTTATGAACGTAGATGGTAAGAGTTATCTCACATTTTATAAGTATATATTTCTTTAGGTATTTATAAACATTCAAATATCACAAGATTTATGATCTACATAGTTAGAAGTGACAGCAAGTGAATTAACCAGACCAGTTTTATAAGCTGGGGTTATACAAATTATATGAAGGAAGCCTATTGATTGGTAAATCAAAAAAAAAATTTAATAAGGATAATTGATATGATATTTCTCTTCGATTATTTTTGCCTTAACATTTGTAATGTCTTGACTAAATTTCTGCATAACTTTTGTTAAGCTTAACAGTGAATAAGATATACTGATACACTGAGGACTATAAATTTTTTATATCATGGATATGATCCTTTGATTTTATAAGAGTTGTCAGTTCATCTGTATATAGATATAAGAAGATGTGGTATGAGTGCCAATGAGACAACTCTCCATCCAAGTCAAAATTTATAAAAGTAAACCATTATAGGTCAAAGTACGGTCTTCAACACGGAGCCTTGGCTCACACCGAACAGCAAGCTATAAAGGGCCCCAAAAATTACTAGTGTAAAACCATTCAAACGGGAAAACTAACTCTCTAATCTATAAAAAAAAACGAGAAACGAGAAACACTTATGAACCATATCAACAAATGACAACTACTGAACATCAGATTCCTGACTAAGAACAGGTGCAAACAATTGCAGCGGTTTTAAACGTTTTAATGGTACAAAACCTTCACCCTTATCTGAAACAATAGTGTAACATCACAACATAGAAAGACACACTATAAAATATCAATTGAAATGGCTTAACTCAATCAAAAGACATATTAACACCAGTGAACATACACTGAACAAATAAATTTGATCTATGATACAATGTAAATACAAAATAAATAAACTAAGGGAAGAATAATAAAAGTAACATGTTATACCGCTGTGAAATGTTAAACAATTTAAGAAAAACAATATGCTTGAACAAAAATATCAGCCATTTGCAATTACTTTAAACACAGGTAAATGAAAATAATTTTGTTGTTAGTTATACGTGTACAGTTCAAATAGAGAAAGGAAATATTTTTACGAAATAAATAATTTTGATGTTCATGGTACGAAGAAGTGAAAATTTATAGTAATACCAAACACTTATCAAAGCTGGTATATAGACCAGATATAACCCTGAATAACATTAAATAACAAAAAAGCATTACAATTAGTATCAACAGGTCAAATAAACAAGAAAGTACGATTTGAGAGTACTCGCAGTTACTGACAGCTAGTTAAAAGCCAAAAACAATTAATAATAAAAAATTATGCATCAGAGACTAAAATCAATTAAAACACATCCCAGGGATTTAGTATTTTAACGTCATGGACAGTCAAAGAAGACATGTATATATAGTAAAAGAAATAGGATCTTGTCTTGTTGCGTCTCTAGTAGTCCATTTTTTATCCGATTGCTCATAGATAAAGAAATGTTTCGGACTGAACGGAGTTAACAAAGCATGTATGCACCACTTTTAAAGCAGTTGTGCAATGCCACATTTAATTGTCCTGAAAAAAAGAAAATACAACTTATTACTAAAATTTCAAAAGCATTATATTTCATACATAAAATCAGGGCCTGATTTCATAGAAAACATGTCATTCTGTAGAGTGCTGGCTTCACTATTAGTATTTGAACATGATTACTATTAAAATTACCAGTTTGTTGATATTCATCTTTGAAATCTTCATAAAACATAAGATCTGCTTCATTTGTTAAACAAGCAACGATCAATCAATCATTTCAAAAATAGGAACCTGTAATATAAACCTAACCTGTCTTTTAATTTAATTATTTAGAACAGTGAATTCATATCTGTGTGCTGGCTTCACTATTAGTATTTGAACATGATTACTATTAAAATTACCAATTTGTTGATATTCATCTTTGAAATCTTCATAAAACATAAGATCTGCTTCATTTGTTAAACAAGCAACGATCAATCATTTCAAAAATAGGAACCTGTAATATAAACCTAACCTGTCTTTTAATTTAATTATTTAGAACAGTGAATTCATATAAGTTTAACCTATTTAGTCACCCTGTTTTTATTCTAATTTGAATAAACGGCTATTTGTTTAAATTTGGTTTGGATTACTGCATTTGAACATAAAAAGTGTCTTTCATTACCAACCTTTTCTGCTGATTTGTATAAGAATATATGAATTATCTCCCATTGTTAAAGTTGAAAAAAATTGTTTGAAAAAAGATGCAGTTATCTCCCCTTTTTGAACCATTTCTTTACTTTTACTTTTTCTTTTTATATTTACAGTAAAACCAGAGGAGTACAACCAGTGGCTGGGTGCTGGTTGGAAAGACGAACAAGTATTATCCAGTGACAATCCACAATTTTTAAGACTTCATAAAAAACTGGTTGACCTTAAAAAAGAAATGCAGAAATTAAATGGAGAAGTTGGTGGCAGATTAATGTTTGTAAGCATTTGTTCTTTTTATCTTTCTGTCTATAACCCCCTGTATATGAGTAGAATTTCTGGTTTTGTTAGTCTGTGGCTACACTTGACTTAAAATGTAAAAATAATTGTTTTTTTCAAACTGTTATAAAAATTTGGCTGAAGTGTAATAACTTACAATCAGAAATCTTAAATGTTTCTTCATTGGAATTTCTTTTATTTAAGTTTGAAAACAACAATTATTTTTATATTTTTATTCATATTACCACTTAACAAAATATTTGGCTATTTAATAAACTGTGCTGTAAACATTTGGACTATTTCCTCACTAAAATGTGGTTTGACCTTTTAACCTTAGTGGTTGGAACTTAGCCTGCCTTGGTTGACTGGTAGTGGTGTACTTGCCTTGAGTGTGGAAGCTCAAAGGTTTGATCCCTCATAAGGTCAATCCAAGGACTTTAAAAAATGATATTGGCTACTTAAGTTATGTCAGAGCTAAAGAAACTGGTTGGTTTTGAGTAAGTTTAATGTGTCCATGTGGAGTGGCATTTCTTCCTGCTGACTATTGCCTTGTCAAAGGTCATGATATAACTCAGCACATGGGTCTAGTAGAAAGCAGGTTCTATTCATATGTTCATATTGTCATAGTCTTACATCGACTTGTAATATTTGCCACTGTACATTATACACTAAAGAAGTCATCAATCAATCATTACCCAGGTTCTTTCTTTCTGTAAATCAAGTTACAGAACCTTTGTCTGTTTTTCATTTATAAAATTAAATTTCTAGCTTGAAATAAGTTGAATTACTGTAAAGGATTGGCCTTTCTAAGGATTTTAGATGGTTCATTTGTGTTTCAAAGAACTCACTCAACAGAAAATAAAAAAACAGAATAAGGTTTAAAAACTTATATTACATTTTAATTTGACTTTGAATGTTTATATACTCGTAAATCTGTCATGAATACAATCAACCATTTGTTCTTTTTCTACTGACAGTATACTGTTGTTTCTGTAAACTGTTTTAACTTAATATTAAAGTTCAATGCAATTGCCATAAATTTTCAAATGTGTACTAAAAGCAGTATATATAGTAAGAAGTAGAAAGGAAAGAGTTGACACTGGAGAATAGCCAATAATTCTGTGACCTGGCACTTTGGCATTCTATTGATTCCCGAAATCCTATTAATCTATTAAAACAAACACTGATCGAGAGAATTTTGGGGATTAAATGTACACAAAGAGTGGTATATGATTTCATTCAAAGGTGACTAAAGAATAGATTTATTGGTTTTTATAGAGATTCATTGTTGTTTTAAATGCATGCGAAAATTGAACGAAATTGTCAATATTTAAAATCAATAAAATAGTGTACAGGTGTGGTCAGGTGACAGATAGACATCAAAGGTTTGTTTTAACTTAGTTTCTATGTTAGTTAATTTTAGTTGTAATTGTACTTAATGTAAGATGAATTAAACATTTGAGAATAATGCTGACCATTTTATGGTAATATCAATTTTGAAATCAGATTTTTGTCCATATTTTTTTAATTATTGAAGTTGCTATGTGCTTATACCTTGCGATCTAGAATGCTGATAAGTCATATTACTTACGAGTATACAGCTATATGTCAATGTCAAAGTAACCCTACAACATAAAAAGATAAAATATTTCTTGTGGTCAACATACAGTCTTCAGCAGTAGACAAGTGTCAGAATACTGCAAATATATCATAAAAATATTTGCTGTATTGAATTAATGGAAAACTCAGCAACTTGCCTAATATGTTAAAACAATTCTGATGTGCATTAATTAATTGATTGTTGCATATATTCTTATTGTCACAGTATCACATATACCATAGTATGCATAGTATTGAATTTTCAATTAGATAATGATTTACACAAGAGAAACAGCTTTTTCATATTTAGATGAACGAGAACTAGGACATAATTCTTGCATTATATTGGTAGGTCATGTTAAATATGTTTATTACTTAGAGGCCAGAGTCTGCAGGATTTGTGTTCCTTTTTTCCATAACCTATTTTTGAGATAGTTGAGGCCTTATGAATCAGAAACAAAAGAAATCTGTATTTGCCTTGACTGTTCATGCTTGACTTTGATGTTACTGATATTAACATATTTTACTTGTGAAGATGAATTACAGATCAAGGAGGCCTTTTTTCCAGTTGACTTTCTTTTGTTGGAACTTGAGCTTTGGACATAACTTTTACTCTCAACAACTTTTCACAAAATACAAAGTTTATAGTTACTGAATAACTTATTAAATTTCTATGAAAGTCAGCATACATGGTGATACGTGGCTTCTCTGCCCTAATGCTGTTTCTAACAGCTTTCAAGCTAGAAACATTTCATTTGGCATGATGTTTGTTCTTATATTCAAGGTTTCTTTAAGATTTATTTTTTTTCTCACAAAATCAGAGATTGTTAAAGATAGATAATTTCTCCATATCTTAGTATAGATGATACAGCATATATTGTTTGTGATGTCAACTGTTATATTCTACAACTTTTTATTTTAACAAACCTGTATCAAAGGACCAATGTATGTGTCACAACCATTTCATTTGGATTTTGAACTAGCTTTAAGTAACTGTGACTGGTACTCTTAAGAACTGTTCTTTGTGTCTTTTGTTCTTTTTGCTGGTTGTATTTATGCTTATGGGTAATGCTGATCTTATAAGTCAAGCCCTTTTCAACAGTTTGTTCTTCTGTTGTGCTCTTATACCACTGCTCAAGGTTAGGGGAGGGGTGAGTGTTCACAAACATGTCCAACCCTACCACAATCCTTCATGTGACTGTCCCAAGTCAGCCTGTAATCCTAGTGCAAATATAGCTTCAAATTATAGAGTCATCAGTGACAAAAATATTTATAAAGCAAGTTTTAAAGATTTGCTATACAATTAATGGATTATTGTATGAATATGTAGGAATACTATTCCTTGTAAAATATATATTGAAATTTCAAGCTTGTGCCATATTAAAATCTACTTGTGACAATATTCATGCAATAACCCTATAATACTACTGAGGAATTTGTTACATTGTTGTATTGGGGGGAAAATTTTTGAAATAGTGAAAAATAGGCTATACTTTTAAATAAAAGTTGTTCTAATACTTGTGCATGTCGTGCTTGTTTAAAAAAAGTGGATGAGTTATAAGTGTAGTCAGTCAGGCGATTGGGAAAAACCATAGCCTCATATTTAATATTGAAATTCCAAACTCTTCAGAAATAATAATTTGATCAATTGTATACACTATCTCCTAGGATAGTAATCTTCTGATCATACAGTTGAATTGTTGTAATGCTGGTCAGTTGCTTGGTACGATTAATATGTTGTTTTACCAATCAACAAGTTTTATCAAGTGTTTGACCAAAACAAGACCATTCTAGATATCAAATTGTAAAACTTTCAAACTGTTAAATCCAAACATTTATTAGATAGATATATCAAACTTCACTTATGAATCTATCAAATATAATCACTTTAATCATTGTAGAAGTGTGAGACGTTATAAAACCAGGTTTTATCCACTATTTTCTACCTAAGAAAATGACTGTACCCAAGTCAGGAATATGACAGTTGTTTTCCATTTGTTTAATGTGTTTGAGCTTTTGATTTTGCCATTTGATAATGGACTTCCCATTTTTAATTTTCCTTGGAGTTCAGTACTTTTGTTATTTTACTTTTTACAAACATTGACAAAATTTTCACATTATAAACTTTCCCTAATTAGGTGGTCATTGTTTAATATGATATTTATATATTTTTCATATATTTTTTGAGCTGTGAAGACAATCAGGTACTTAATGCTGTTGGAAAATTTATTCAAGTCAATATGAGTTAGAAGTATTTATTTCTCATATAAATATATCATATACTTTAAACCAAGGGCTTTTTTACAGTCTAATTGTATTGTAATTGTGTATTTAAATTCTATGTATCTATGCTAATCAATGTTCTTTTTCCTTATACATGTATTCTCTGTATGCCCCTTGTGGGCCCTTAATTGGTAATAAAATATATCTTATCTTATCTATTCAAGTGTACACACAGCTTCAGTCTTATATTGGACCTTTTTTTTGTAAAGATGCTCAGCTGATATTATTATAAGGGAAAACATGGAGATATTTTACAGGACTTATACATGTAATTGATATCTTGACAATAGTAATCTGTCTCAGGATTATTTTAACTAATAAAGTAGTAATAGATCCTACAGCAAATATGATATCTTTATACATTTACATTGGAAACATTTTTTTCAGGATATTGTTGTGTTATATGTTTGTGTGTATTTTTTAAACAGGATCTCATTTTGTTATAATAAGATATGTTATTTGTAAATGGTGTTTAGGAAGCATCATAAATTTTACACAAATTCCATCAGACTTGTAGGGTTATTTTAGAGAAATCCCAAGTTTGTTCCGTTATATATCCACCAGTCAGCAGGTTTTTTAGGAAAACTACAGGCATTGGGTCATTCCGCTGATCTTGTAACATTACACACAACCTTTAGGAATGGAAATCTTACCTTCAAATCTTAGACACATTAACCAATGTCAGTTTAGCTGTTATAAAATGTATTTTATTTATACAATAACAAAGTAACTATTTGTTCTTCTTCTAACAAAGTATCTAGAGCACAGATGTACATTTTTGTAAACATCTTTGTTCACAAAGCAATCTTCTTGTGAAAAGATTTCCCCAGTTTGTTCAGCTCCAGTTACTGTTTTATAAAGCATTTGTCAGTCTGCACAAATGTTTCTCTCAAATCTTTGATCTATCATTATATACAGGTAAACTTGTATGTGCCCCTCCATGGTGAATTTTTATAACAAGGCGTGGCATCAAAGACATGGCACCTGTAGAAATGGCCTATGATTTTTATGACCGAGTCATTGTCCGATGTTTTCTTTTCTTTAATTCTCAATCCTTTCTAGACTAATGAGCTATATCTTTAATACTTATCTTATAAAGTAATTGCTGAAGGGTTCAAA